CACAAATCACTCTGATCAAGAACAAGATATGCAGCATGCTTAAGGACATTGGACAGACCTATATCACAACTTACACTATCTTGCTTACATGAGAAGAAAAACTTGCAAACTGACTCCAAGCTCTCATTCCTGTAACCATCAACCAAAACAAAGTTTGCAAACACTTTCCATACATCAAGCCAAGCCTAGAACACGATTGAACCATCTCTCACACTTCTTAATACTCATAATCCCTGTTTTGCTGCAAAACAGGGCATTCTCTGCAAATTGACTTGCCTAGCATTATCCACTCGTGCGTTTTTGCCCAAACAAGTTCCAACACATTCCATATCACTCACACAAACTACCCCAAGCCCTGAACACAAACTGTAACATCCCTAACATCACTTGCCATTTTCAGTTTTCAGTTTTGCAGGTGGACTTCCATAGCTTGATTCAGAGAGATTCAAAGCAAGCTAGGTGTTGAAGAAGCATCCTTGGACTTCAGGAAAGTTGTACCAAAGCTCAAACTCCATTGAAGATACCTCCATTGCTGTACACGACTCAAGCTGAAACAGGTAAAAACATGAACTTCTATCTCCCAATATAGGAAGAGTTAGGCTTAGGTTTGTGAATGAAACATGCTCTACTCATAGCCCTGAAGTCATCCATGTATTTACTTTTCATTTATATTGAGTGTGTTGTGAGAATTTTGGCCATGAACATTGAAGAAAAATTAGGTCAGAAATTGGGGATGAAGAAATTCTCCCTCGTTTCTTAGAGTTAGGTCAAGTTTTTTACATGTTTGAACTCGTGATTTAATGCTCTACATTGTTTATGTTATGAGTTTTGGCTAAAAATCAAGGAATCAGGAGTTAGTGTTGAACAAGGAAGGGCGCGCGTTTTCTGTTTCAAATGGCTGGAGGTTGAAGACAGAGTTGACTTGGGCTGGGCCTGAGTCAACTTGCTGTTTACACCCCTTTTTTTAGTTTTGCACCCCCCTGGCCCATTGTGTGAAATCTTTATCATTTTTGACTTTTTATTTTTTATTCTGATTTCATATTTTCTGCTTAAACATAAAAAATCCTAAAAATATTTTTTCACATTATTTTACATTTTTTTGGCATTTATTTGCTTTATTAAACATGTACATGTAAATAAATATATATACTTTTATTTAAAACACTAAAAAATAATACAAAAAAATATATTTATTTTCAGTTATTATTTTATTTTACCTTTTGAAAACATTTTCTAAAAATATACTTTTTTGTAAATAATTAATATTTTATTTTGGTATATATTTAGTATATTTAATATATAATATAAATACTTGTATATATTTATTAAAATACTTAGGATAAAATATGAAAATAATACATTTTTATTTTTATTAATATATGACACTAAAAAATAATTTTTTACAATATACTTCTTTTTTTTTTTTGTATAAATTAATATATAAATATTGTATATAATTAATAAATAATTGCTATTTATTCAAAAATTAGGGTTTTGCCCTAAAACCACAAAATATCCAAAAATTAACTTTTTATTTTTGTTTATATTTTGCATTGAAAAATATTTTCTCATACATAAAAAAATCCTTTTTGTGCATAATACATTTTGCATATTTATTGTATTTATTTAATTATGGTACAATTTAATATTTGTCTATTCAATATGGATGTAATAGTTTAGATTTAATTTCTTGCTAAATATCCCCCCATTCAAACATTTGTACCCCCATCCCCATAATCATGTTGTAATAATTTAGGGCTTTAAATTTCCGCATTTAAAAGCTTTCCAATTATGCCATGATAGACCTAGGGTTTGTATGCAAAATCAACCAACAAATAACTTGATTAATACAAAGACAAAAAAGCATGAAAATGGACAACACCAATCACACTTGCACCCTTAGGGTTACTCCACTTGTTGCCTTCAAAAATGGGCCATGTTGCATGTTGAGTGTCTTTGGCAAAACAAAAACAAATCAAATGATCATAGTCCCTCGATGACGCTTTCTCAAGTTGTCTAAAAATGATCAAGTCCCTTAAAGGAAAAATTGCCAAAGACACTTGGCACTATTGCATTCATGGTCTAAACGATGACCCGTGCCCGTCCCGTTAACATCCTAACACAAGATTGTCCACCAAATACAATTGTGGAACAATACTGTTAAAAGGGTTAAAACATAGGAAAGATCTTTGAGAAATTTAGGGTAGATAGCTCTTGGTTACTTGACCAACTTGCAAAACAAATCCTTGCCATTTTTCAAAACAAACTCCACAACACAAACTTTCAAAACAACTTTCACAACATTGAAAACTTTTTCAAAAGACAAATACACCTTTGTATACATTCAAACATGGATCAATACAAAGGTTGCCACAACAAATGGCCTCTTTTCAAAACATCTTTCAAAATCACACACAAAGCACCATTTCAAACAATTGAAAGCACCATTTCAAACAATTGAAAATGCAAGGCAAGTGATCTAAGCAAGTAACTAAGAGCCCATGGATAACCATGGATAGAAAGGGTGCTAATACCTTCCCTTTCTATAATCTACTCCCCGAACCCAAGAAAACATCTCAAAGGGTTTTTCTGTGCTTTTTAACCTTTCCTTAGGATAAAATAAAAAGTCGGTGGCGACTCTTGCTCAACCGAAACATTTGCGAAAACAAACGCAAAACCTCAAGTCAGTTCTCCCACCGTATCACACATATCCCTAACATTAAGCCCACCTTTTGTTAATAGTTTACAAATTTTCTCCCAAGCAACAGGACTCTTCTTACTCACGGTATTGCTCCCTGTCCAGAGATAAGTTCTACAAACAACAGTGATTTTATGCAAAACAATTTTAGAGAAAAGAAAATACTGCATCCAATAAGACGTAATAGCATACAAAACACTCTTAATGAGCTGCAGCCGCCCTGCGTAACCTTTCAATTATTTCTCCCTTTCAGTTTTTTGTCCTTTATTTTTTTCTTTCAATTTTTACCTTTTCATTAATTTTTTTCTCAAATAAATTTGGGCCAGAGCCCAGACAACTGCTCTAGTGTGAGTATATATATATATATATATATATATATATATATATATATATATATATATATATATATATATATATATATATATATATATATATATATATATATATATATATATATATATATATATATATATATATATATATATATATATAATTTCATAGATATGTTTTATATTTTACGAAGTAAAAATAAGAGAAAATTATATATAAATAAGAAAAAATTATATATTTATCATATTCTCATTAGAAAAAAAAATATAAATCTTACCTAAGAAATTATATATATTCTTTTAGCAAAACCACACCTAGAATGTATGTATCCTGTTTGTGAGTCGCCACTCCTAGTTGTTTGGTATGAGAAAAAATGAAATGAAAGAAAGTTTAAAGTTTAAAGAAAATAAAAAATAAAATTTTAAAATGACAAAAATGTTCTTAAACAAAAATAAATATAATAAAAAGAATAAAAACTATAAAAGACTCTAATTAATTCATAAAACAAATCATATAAAGAATTATAAAAGCCAAATAAAATGTGCCACATTTCATTTGATTGTTCATAGTAATAGTTATTGGATAAATATTACTAAAAAACAATTAACTTAACATTCTAGATGGGAATAATTCAACGCACGAGATTCTTATTTTATAGGTTCTGAGAGATCAGATATATGCAGTCTTATCTCTGTTTTTTTTTTTTTTTATATATTAGAGAAACAGTTTCCAACAACATTTTAGATGGATGAATGAAATTGAAAATTTCAAACAAATTTAAGGGTATAACTGTATTTTTGAACAACTTATTAGAGTGTTTGTTTCTAACCTTTGTTTTTTTTATAAGAGAGAAATTGTTTCCAACAACATTTTAGATGGAGGGATGAAATTGAAAATTTCAAACAAACTTAAGGCTATAACTATATTTTTGAACAACGTGGTGGAATAAAAAAGCAGAACGAAACAAATGATACACCTTCCAGACACATTTATAAATAATAAAAAAAAAATTTAGATTTATTGAATAAATAATATATTTAATTATTATTATATACAAGATATTTTAATTATTCAATATATCTAAAAAGGTTTTTGATGTTTATAAATGTATCTGAATGATGTAAATGCTTTTGTTTAATTTTCATCTCAAATTGGCAACAAAAGTTATTTCATGTGGGACCCAGCAAAAAGTGATCATTCTTTTATGCTTTTGACAGAACCAAACAAAGGAAGGATATTGATTTATGTGCTTTCATCCTCTCAACCTTCTCTTGAATCAAACAGATCCTTGGAGTGGCCAATGAATGAAGCCATCATTGGATAGACCCTACAAGCTAATGACAACTTGATCACATGAACTGTTCTAACATTTTGACCAACTTAATATGGTTTTGTGTTGGTTTATGCGATGATAGTGTCCTAATATCACAAAAGATGTTGGTAATGTTGAGTGGATGAGGTTCTAAGCAAGCTATTGTTTAGTACAGGCATGCAGAGTCTGATGCATGAATCAAACCCAAAAGTTTGAATTCAAACTTAACAGAAAATAACTTATTCAAAAAGAAAGATTCAAAAATATCCAATGCATCGAATAAAATTAGCAAGTATACCATGTAGCCTTTTCAAATAAAGATTATGAAAAGGAGACTTCAATGCTAATATCATCTGTGAATAAATTCATACTGAAAATAATTACAGGAGTTTACTAAATAACACCACGCCTTGCATTCTGAAACTTTTCGTCCAATGATACTCACTCCATCCTAGGAAAAATTAGTTACTTTTTCTGCAATCATCAATGCAGATTCTTTGAGCAAGACAGCCTGTCTAATAATGCAATAAAATGAATCCCTTCAATGGGCGATTAATTTTGGAAAAAAATGCCTGTACAGGGAAGGCAAAAACAATCAGATGGCAATTTATCTTCACACGAGGGTGTGGTAAATAACAAACTAATATGACATGATAATGCTTATTTTGATGCCCCGGCCTTACTACTGAATCCATTTCTTGGCCTCTTGCTGGATACAATATCAGAGAAAGAGTCAACCAGTTGCCCTGCCAAACTACTTGGATCGTCCATCAGAGTTTGAATGAAGGTATTTACCACCCTGCGTTCCTGCTCGGTTGATCTCAAACTAAACCACGTTAGCAATTTCAACCTAAACTCCTGTTTGATGTGACCCTCACACTCTAGCCAACGGATTACTTTCACACAATACTCAAAGTTTTCATCCAAGGAACGTGAACTGTCAGGCATACGTAAAGGAGAACCATTTATTAAAGTGCTGTCGCAGTCATGTCCTTCTTCATTTGTGCTCGCAGACCTTTTCCTGCCTGCCGCATATACACGAGAATCAACAGCTGAGACTTCTCTTGGGCCATGAGCCCAAGTTTGTGAGTCGCCACTCCTATGTGATCTTGCTAAATCATTTTTCTGTAGGTCATGAGAAGCAGCATCATCAATTGCCTCTACAGCCTGCAGTAAAGTGCAACCAATGCCTTCATCTCTGGAAGACTCAAAAGGAGGTGTTAGGTCTTCATTCAAATCAGGAACTGAAACAACATTTAAATCAAGGCCTCGCGAATCTGAAGGAAACCACGTTTCTGAAATTTTAGGCTTGTTCATTTCACCTTGTCCACAGCAATTTTTCACATCAGCGGAGCAACACTCCTCAAAGTAACCACGTTCTTGAGCCCAAGCAAGACGCAAAATTTTCCCAAGGTCTTGAACCTTAAATCTGGGGCCTGTGATTGTGGAAAAATCACCCCCGGCTTGAGAGTTCAGTTTTTTATGATTCGAAGCAACAGACTTAGAGATTTTATGTTGAATTATCTCGATGCTCTTAGTGAAACACTTAGCTTCGGAATGACCCAGGTCACCCATGTCAGTGTAAGATACAATTCGAAAGGTATATTCCGTGCACGGTTGAAGGTCGGATATCAAAATCCTCCTCTGAGATTTGGGAAACACAGAAACAGGATCCTTTGTGTGTGGCTCGTCCCGACTCTTGTAATACCAGAGCTTGTACCCCTTAATATCCTTGGAACATATACTTGACATTTCAATCAAAATGATTTTGACGGAGGAAGTTGTTACCTCTTCAAAAACAAACTTGCAAGGAGCAGGAAGTGAACCCTCTGCAAAATTGAAACCGTCATCATGCACCAACAAATGAGATTAGCTTGAACAGCAAAAATAATTATACTACTTCCCCGCACCCCTCTCCCCCCCAAAAAAAATCGAGCATTAGTTTCAACCTTTGGAACCTGGATTTAAATTGGGAGCAGTGGCCAGCCAGCTATCAGCTTTCTCAATAGCAAGAGTGCAGAGTCTCTGTACATCACTGGCAATAGGGAGTCTGCTGACAATGCCTCGTGCCATTTTGGCAGAAACTCCGTCAAGAGGACCAACTTCTGTCTCCAGTTTAGCCTTTGCCTCCTGAACCATTTGATGCAGGTCTTTGAATTTTGAAGTTCCATTCAGAAGTCTGTAGCTCATATATATCCTATAACAGAGTACATCTACACGACGGGCATCTTTTGCAATATTTAGCTGTTTCTTCCAGCATCTGCCATTATTAAATACAAACCACCAAGGTTATCAACATAGGGCTTGCAACTTACCAACATACATGTTGCAAATGGTAGAAAAGGAAGTGAACAAGGTCATAATACTGTTTCTCCTCAAAAGAGACATCAAAGTAGCAAAACTGCAATAGTATGTTTCAGTTTGCTGCTGCAAACAGGTCAATCCAGTGAGTGATGGATAAAGTGGCGGAAAAATCAGCAAATAGTTTTACCCTACAATATGTGCAAGTCAAGAAGCACTTTGCTGTTGAAACAACAGTATGTGCAAGGACTGTGGTATATGTAACAGGTAAAAGAAAATTACTTACCCAAGTATCCCAGTAACTTTACCACAGGAGGCACAGCAATAACCACCATCCAGTTGCATCAGTTGCCCGTGATCAACAACTCCCACTTTTTCATGTTGAAGGGCACATTCGATATGGCAAGACAATTCACAGGAGTCCCCTAGAGTAGATTCAGATGTGCATACTAACCAAAGACTAGGATCCTTGTTATCATCAAAAAGGTGACAGATACAACAAGAGCATCGCCTACAAAATGTGTCATCCATTGATAGAACTGCCCTACAAGCAGCATTTTTACAGATCCAAGTGCTCGGATGTCCAAAATCAGAATCCTGGTCAGGAGGAGGTATGAGTCGAATGGGGTTTTCCCCCTTCCGATGTTGTTTTTTTGAGGACTGACGACTAAGACTAGAAACCTTTTTTGTGTCTTGTTTCTTAATTACCTTACCAGATGACTTTCCTTCAGTCATCCTGTTTTTTGAAGATGTGTTCTTTTTGTCCTTATCAAAGCACGTTTGAAGAAGTTCCTTTTTTGGACCATGTTTCATGAATTCCTGAAGGAGTTCTGAACTTCTCGAAGCATCATCTGAATGGCCATTTTTTTCTGGAGTACTTTGCACACTGGAAGAAAGGCTTTGAACACCAGAAACTGCACAGAAAAAACAATCAATTATAAGTTAAGCCTGTGGTGGTAATATAACAAGAATTAATATACACCTTTTGTGGTAATATAACAAAAATTAATATAAACAAAAAACAAGACTCACAGACAAACAACTGACCGAACAGGAAAAAAAAGAAATTTGACTATGAAGGACTATTATAAAGGCATGCATAAAATGATGAACTGAATTTAGGTTCCATCAAAGAACAAATATAACAGTAATCTCAACAGCATTCTACAACTTAATCTGTTATTTGGGTCAAATCAACCCTTCAGATCAGAAACAGAAGAACCGATTCGAGTTCTTATCAGAAATAAAATCAATGTCGGGGGAGGGTGTAAATCAGTCTTAACATATTCTCTGGATAGCAGAACGGCCGACCCTGTATATGCTAATAGTGGGATAATGGATACTGGGGCAGCCACTAAATTGCCCTTTTATGTAGTTCATACAGTGTATATACACGGTAACTCAAAACTCATGACAATCATAAGTAACAATAAAAAGTCTAAAAAGTCATAGGTTTCCGAAACAAAACATAGTACATACAACTCACGGTATAAATTCACTGTAAATCTTTCTCTCTTCAATATCGGTGTAAAATGTGGGACATTATGACCTGTTATCCATTTTTAGGACACTTGCAATGTAAGCCTCAGATCACAGTATCATACATGGATGATAAACCTAAAGAGACGGCAGCAAAGTGAAAAATCCACCCGGTGCAGACCACACCAAGTTATCTGCCAATGTATCATGACTGCAAAAAGAAGTAGCTGCTAGCCTGCTACGGACCAGCAGCAGGGCACCTATGACCCAGACCCATTACCCACATTTTAACTAAAAGAAATATGTTTTCCTCCTAAATCCAAACTAGTCTTTCTTTTAACTAATTTAAAAACAAAATGCTGCTTTAATGATAAATAAATCAACAAAACAGAACATTGAGTAAAAATGTAACATCTAACTCAATATTAAATAATTCTAAAATCCTCAAATCCTAATATTAATTACAAAAAAATAGTGCAAGTATGGGGCAGGGGCAGGTTAGGCCTGCAGATCCCATGTCTCCATTTTTGCGTGGGTAGTTATCCCAAGGGCATTGAGTGGATAATATCCCACTTTGTAATCAATTATTGCAAATGCCCAATGGGTTTGGGTGCAGCTGTCCTCCTTAATCTTACCACAAATTAGTGTATGAAAATATTGAAACATGGGACAAGAGAAGACATATAAAAGGATGAACAAACTAAGAGGGATGCATGTGATTGCAATGTAAATAATGTTAAGAACTGAAAAACAATTGCACAGAAAATATGTCATGTATGAGAGCATGCAAGAGCAATTCCTGGAGACAAAGTTTAATAGAAGATTCATGTGAAGACTCAAAGAGAATTCAAAAACATTATGACATGTCATCCAAGTGTTATGGCATTTAGCTACTGAGTTTGATGTCAATCGCAACAATGTTAAATCAATAAGACATGAAATTAATTATCTTTAGAAGTTCCAAAATTTTGATGTCAAATCATGAGCAGATGCTATAGTACAAAACCATACCAGGCGATAAAGATCTCAAGGAATCCTGAAATCGGAAAATTAACAATATGATCTTCACAATAAATCGCAAACTATAAGATCAGATTGTCTCAATGAAGTAAGAATAACATTCACATCGAGGACTGGAAAAGCTGCAAAACCATGCACACGACAGTCATTCTGAAATAATTCAGATAACTACAAAACTAAGTAGAAGAAACGTCACAAGAAGATCGAGATCCCAAAAGTTAATATCTCACATAAACACCAGATCTTCCCTACAACTAAAATAAAAAAATAAGAGATATTTTAGATTTAACATTAAAATGTGCTTTTATAGCCGACGATGTGGCAACTCAAAGAGAAGCATCCAAGGGCTTTAAGTGGCTGTCTATGCAAGCATGGATCATGTGCCAAAGCTTTGTTTTAATTTACTTCTATATCCCAACCACACGAATTTAAAATTTTTATATATTTACTGCATTCAAATATGGAATGTAATTATCGACCAATAATACAATGTATTTCTACGTAATCTCCACCTTTGACATTCCATGCAGATTATGGAAATTTTGCTCCTCAATAAGCACATAAAAAGCTGATATTTTTATATTAAAATATCGATATGTATTAATTAAAAATATTATAAGTATTAAAAATTATGTAGACATTTTAATAACAGTATGTAAACTGAAGATTCAATGATATATTCTCTGAAGGTGTTTGTCCTATAAAACGCTAATATCAATATGTATAAACAGTAGAGTGGACCATCAAGGTAGTCAGTCATCCAACATTACCCGAGTATGTTCTATATTTAAAAGAATTCTTCCCTAAGGCTTTGTTTGCGAGTTGGGAAGGAAAGAGGATAGACTCTCATTTTGTTTGAACGTCAAAACTTCCAATGTAGAGAGAAAAAAATCTGTAAGAATGGTTTTGGGAGGTTTTTGAAAATTTCTCTAACCCTACCCTTGTTTTAAAATGCTCCCAATCCTATACAACTGAAGGGATTATCGTAACCCTTACCCTTCCTCTCTTAAAACCCTATGTTATCAATTTCGGATAGCAGCGCGGCAAGGTCATCTTCAAAAATGGAGCGGAACAAAAGTGGGGAGCAGAACGGACGTTATTTTAGTGATGTGGACACTAACACGGTTGATACTAATAAACACATAATTGATAAAAACTAAACTAAATTACTCAAAATTCATGATGTATTCACTTAAGGGCAATATCGTATACAGCTGACGCGGCGCTCTCGACGGCTTTAGAGCAGCGGCATTCCGAATCAAATCTCATTATCGCGGCTGTTCCAGCCGAGTCACCCATTTGTACCAGAAAGGCACGGTCTGACACGGGTTTTTTTTGGTTGTGTCATTCCATGTTGAGATAATGGCCAGAATGGACGAGTTTGATAACTAGCTAATCCCCCTCCCAATCAAACCTAGACCTTATAATAAGATTAAATACCAAGTTCCTTTCAAAATCATAAGGCTGCAAAATAAAAAAGCAAAACCCTTCTAAAAGTAATCACTTTCAAAATAAATAACACTGGACCAAAGTGTGCAAAACAATCGTTATTTAATAAGAAAGAAAATAAGAGGTTGGACATATTCAAAATAAGTAGCAGCGTGATTTCCAACAAAAGATCACTGGTTATATAACAGAATCATTAGCCACACAACTTACTGAGGCAGTAAGACCTATGAAGTACAGACACCGGGACACGACACGACACAACACGGACACTCCGACACCAATAATGTCAAAAACATAAGACACCGACACACACACACACACGCAAGAGTTACCAAAAGAGTTAAAATAATAACTCTTTTATGAATGTCTTTTATTTTTCATTAATAACATTGTTTTAATACATGTTTAACCCTTTTAGATATGGGTGAGATTTGCCTTAAAAAAATGTATAAGGTGTGTTGAAGCAAAGAAATAAACAAATTCTTTTTTAAGCATTTGTCCAAATTGTCCGACGTGTGTTCAATGAGTGTCAAATAGGTGACGGACACTGATTTAAAGAGTGTCAAAGCAAAGAAAATAAATCATTTATTTGAAGACATTTGTCTGATTTTTTCGACACGTGTTGTACGGGTGTCATACAAGTGTCGGACTCCGCGACACGCCTCCTCTTAGAGGTGTCTGTGGTTTATAGAATAAGACATCTAAAATCACCAACTCATCTTTCCTAAACTCAAATTTCAAGTGTACTCTATCCCATGACTTACTATCAAATATCAATAGATTTGACACATGAGAACATTATAATACTAAGCTAGCCAACACGCAGAGAAACTGAATAATTATACTCAAAAAACATACCTTTGACAAGGAACTTGTCTTCTAAATCCATTTCTAACTGATAAAAGCTACGGATGTATGGCCCTTATCTGAGAAAAAGAAAGAAATAGCATTTCACAATGGTGTTAAATCCCATATTTACTCCCCATTTCATCAAACCCACACCAATGCATCATGCAAAAAATCAAAACAAAAAAGCAATAGCATAGAAACATACCCACAACATCCTAAAAAACCATAAAAAAAATTCTCCCAAAAACATATTATCATACAGATAAAAATCACAAACTTGGTAAAGAAAAGAATACAATCATAACACAGTAACCACATCACGATTTAACTAGTCTTCCCATCGGCATTGTGTCTTCAGCATTGACGAAAACTGATATCAATAGTGCGTTTTTCTCCACAAAAAAAAAATCCTTTTTTCCTAAATAAGATATTTTTTTCCAAAATGGGGATATACACATGCATTTAGACACATAATAAGAAAAACAATATGAATAAAAAAACCTAACGAAGAACAAATCTGCATAAATGAAAGGAAAAAAAAAAGTAATAAATAATAAAAAAAGTAGCAGTAATAATGAGTAGAAAAACGGGTTAACGCACCTTGAGAATTTGGAAAATGAGGGATGAATGAAAGGGTTTTACGATGAGATTTGCGCTCCAAGAAGGAGCGTGAGTGAGTGATGAATCGAAAGCTCAGAGAAACATGTTCATCGATGTTGTGATAGGTTGAACAGTGTGAGAGAGAGAGAGAGAGAGTAATTGACGTATGACACGCGTATGGGAGCGCGTGGGAAAGAGGAGTACTAGTACGGAAGTAAGCGAATAGGTTTGGTGATTTGTGCAGTTGCACGGTTATGGATAGTGAATTCAGCTACTCTTGTACTCTCACCTAAACTACGTGTGCTTTTTTCATGTATACTTTCTTCGTTTCTAGTAACTAATTGGAAAAACTCTTTTATGACTTTGGTTTCTGTCTTGATACATAAAATCATTAACTAAACGTGGCTTCTGTGGTCGGACAACTTACGTTAAAAATGATATTAATAAGTGTTTCAAAGGTTTAGAAATTTGTCTAATCAATGTATTAGATTACGAGAGGTGATCGGAAAAATAATAAGTGTATTATTTTGTTTCTTGTAATAATAAGGAAAATTCTTTAAATGTCGATTTCAATGATTTCGTAGTAATATCGAGTTTAATTTGTGGTTCAATTAAACAAAAAATTTAAATTTGAATTCTGTTTGGTTATTGTCACCGTAAAATAAGTAGAAATATAAATTGGTTTTTTCTTAGATATGAGGAGTATGATAGGATAAGTGTGTGATTTGTCTTGTAACAACCTTGATTCTTGATTTCTTCAAGAAGTTCATGATATTCAATTACAGATATTTAGTTGTTTTAACCTAAATCCTTAGTGGGAAAATCTTTGAACATTCATCTTAAACCCTAAGTCCTTAGAGAATAATGATGAAATCAAGTCTTTGTTTTATGAAGAGTTATCGTGTAACTATATGGTATCCCTAGTCCTAGGTGATATCTACTATAGTCTAATTGTCAAAAACCTTAACAAATGCGGTACAGCTAATCGTTAACCGTAAATCAATCCTGCGTACCTCTGGACTCTGTAACTCGTTGGCTTATACTTATGTTAAAAATGTGTTTAGTAGAAAATATCAATTTAAAGACTGAACCTCACACTCTCGTGGTTTTGAATAAAGTTGAATTCCTTAACCATGAGATTTTGCTCTCGCTCGCCCATTTTAATTAAGGAATGTGTTTTGAAAACTAAACAAGTTCTAATTAATCCTAAAGCGTTCTCGCTGTGTTTAGAATTAATGTCTAGTTTCTACTATCCGATACGACTCCCACGCTCTCACAGTGTCGGCTCGAACCTTAGTTAATTTCCCACTCTCGTGACAAAATCGTGTTAAGTAACATCTCACTCTCATGACAAAGCTATTTAAATTAAGTTTAAAAACAAAGACCGAAACATAATTTCTAAATTAATTAATTAAGCCAATATTTGTTACTGAGTCCTGTCGGAGACGACGGTCCTCACATACCGGACTCTAAATAATTTAGCTAGACATGGAATTAATTGAAAATGAATTAAACATAACAGTTCCAATTAAGAACAACATGATATTTAAATATGCAGTGAATAATAATAATAGCAATACAAACTGAAACTAGAAATTAAATTACAACAACAACTGACAATAGTCAAAACTGAAAATTAAGAGAAGCGGTATAATAATAAAAGCGATAAAACTAGAAATAATAGAGACTTGAAATAATTAAAGTAATAACTAAAATAAAAGTTGAACAAAAATTGATTTTGAAACTAAATTGAAAGACGAGTCCCGGCAGGATTATTGATCCAAGCGTACACAAAAGAAGTCCTAGTACTAATGGTGTGGTAGTTTCTCGATGTGAGAAACTACCACTTTTACATGGTAAAATTTTCTGCCTAAAAACTAAGAATAATAATCTGCACACAAAACTTGAATCCCCAAAACTAATTTCTAAGATCCTATATAGAGAGAAATAAAATGGAAGTTAACATGCAAGAGGTAGTGGAGATCATGGGAAGTTGAAAAAGATGGAGATAGTGGGAAGTTGGAGACGGTGGAGATAATAGAGATCATGATGGGAGAAGTTGAGAAAACCATGGGTCGTTGCAGACGTGGAGAGAACTTCGTATTTAACACTGAAATTAGCCTGTGATGAGTGGCATGCAATGTGTGTCATGGGGCACACATATTTTCAACTTGTGCCGATCATCATACTATGTGTGCCGAGGGGCACACATATTTGACTTGTGTCGAGCATCAGGGAGGTGTGACGACCGTCACAGTCTTCTAATATGAATTTTTCTGCGACTTTGTGATTTTCAGTCCATTTTTTTCCATTTCTTCTCATTTTCTCAAGTAGGCATTGTGGGAAATAATTAGCTGAAACAAAATCGAAATACCAATGTAATGTAACATAATCAAGACAAAACGGTAACTTTATTTATACAAATCGGTTCAAATATATGATATAATTTCGCGTTATCAAATACCCTCACACTTAAACCATTGCTTGTCCTCAAGCAATCGACCAACACGATAAAAGAAATGATTAAGCATGATTTGAAATAGGGGCACAACACAACTCCTAATCATACGCGGCTGCTAGGCTAATGTTAGAATGATAGGTGCCAAATGTTCAATACCAAGGACACCGTAACAACACAATGTTCAAAGACTCCCTCTTTATGCAAACCAATTCGAATCATGCCATTATAACTCAACCTATATCTCTCGTTTTTATTTCACTATATTCATTCAATCGCAATCACATTAAGCTTGTTATTCGTACACGCACAAATTAGGGAAATCGGTTAGCAACTATGATCCTTTGTCTCGAGGTTCTGGTACATAAGTTTGATAATCCCTTTTATTTAACCAATTGCAGTTGCAGGGGATCACACCGTAGTCCGTCCTACCAAGTTCAGCATCAGACACCTCTGAACCAACTGACGACGGGTTGTTTTATTATATCTTTGTAGGTTCTACAACCGTTGAATTAAGTGACTGGGTGGGAGTCACCTAACTTAATAGGTGCATTCCCTATTTTAAATTTATTGTGGAAACTAATTTTTTAGAATTAATGGATCATTCACTTATATTCATCGACTCCCTATGTAGTATGTACTTCATATGGTGTTGACTGCTAATATAAACTACTTAAGAGCTACTTTGAAAACTTGAGCCTAAGGTTTCAGCATAATGGATACTCAAATTGATATCATATAATGAGGGGGTTTAGGGTGTCATAACGGTATCAGTGTTATTGAGACATACCCATGCCTCTCTAACGCAACTTAAATTTTGACAACCTATATACTTTTAGAGTGTGTGTCATGCATTAGAAAATAAAATTTGTTGTTGGGAGGTTAAAATTTTAAAATACATCACATGCAATGAATCAATCAAATACTGAAAACAAATAAAATCCTAAAACATGTAATAAACTAGAAAACAATAAATCAAAATAAGAAGCGATAAATGGAAAATGGTAAAGTTCCTCCCCCACACTTAAACCCAACATTATCATCAATGTCTCAGTAAAAAGTGGGAAAATGAATAAAAACCTGATCAATGCTCGCCTCGATAGTTGCCTACATGCAACTGATAGGTGTCAAGCGATCGATATCTTTATTTTCTGCAAACTCAAACAAAATTAAAAACATTAAATTAAAACTCGTTGGTTGCCTCCCACACATCGCTTCTTTTAACGTCGGTAGCTCGACAACTCAAGAGTGTCAGTACTCATGGTGATTCTCTCGAGAATGACTCCTCTATCGAATTTTTAATCGTCTTTGGTTTCCATGGCCACTTATCAAGCCATCTTACATATCCCTCACCTTTTATTTTCTTTCTTCTATAAGGTGGTTCCTTCTTTTGAACTTGTGATGGTGGTTCTGGATCTATCTTGAGTATCAACTTTTCAAGTTCCGTCTTAGTTATTTCATCCACCACCTCAAAGGCTAACATTCCCCTCTTAGAACTATTGATCTCCCTAGTTGTATGGTCCTCAAATTTTATTTTTTTATGTAGGACCTCAGGAAAAGGTGCATTGATGTGGATATTTTTCAATACCTCCGCATGCGTTTTGGATTGGGAATCTATCTTGTCTTCCACAAACCTTTGAGGGAAATGAATTGGTGGGGTATAGGGAAGAGGAACAACAATGGATGTTTCCTTTTCTACCTCTTCGGCAACCTCCCTTTCGAATAACATCGGTGTATTTTTCTCAATCTCTACCCTTTTCTCACCGGAACTCTTCTTAACCTTATTATTACTATCTTCAACCTTATTATCACTCTCCTTAGGATTTTCAATTTTTTCACTACTAGTTGTTACAACATCCACATGCTCCTCAGGGAAGGGTCCTAGAGGATTTTATGCAAGCATGGAGATTTGGGTATCCAAGGCCATATTGTGAGTCGCGGGGGACTCAACAACATTGTTCAGCTACCTAAGGGTTTCATTA